TTTTTGTATTTTAGGGAAGGGTCTACAGGGTATTCAGGGTCTCACTACTAGATTGGACTGGTAGTGATCCACCTGTTTACAGCCTCCTGAGAGCTGGGATTACAGGCGCGTGTCACCACGCCCAGTCTCAATTGCAGTCTCAGGACGCCCCAGGGATGAGGCTGGCACGGCAGGCCAGGGGATCAAACCCCCGGTCCCTGATAGTATTTTCATTTTTCTATAAATGCATCTTACCGGATTTAAATATTAATTGAAGATGACCTTTGAGATGATTATTTGATAGACTATTTATACTCAATTTGGTCTTTCTTAGTTAAATAAAGGATAAAAGCACCATATGCTCAATGTGAGGCTGTAAACTGTAAATGATCAATGACTACCCACTCACCCTTCCTCTCAGTCTCACTTGACGTCCTTCTTAGTGAGATAGTGAAACTGGTAATGCACAGGAAAGAATGGGAAAGACTCACAGTGGAGGCAGAGAATTGTCCTCGGCGTGAATCCGTGAGGAAGGGAAGAAAATTGTGATAGCTGTTGAAGCAGAGACTTTGGAGAGAAGCAGTATCACTTGTAAAAATGAGGAAGATGCCCGGCACCTTTCTAAGGTCAAATGAGCTCAGATTTAGAGATAATGGAATAAAAAATGTTCACAGAACATATACATGGAGAGGGAACAAACATAGGACTGCAGAATAGGTTGAAACAGAATTCTACATTGCAGAAAATATTTGCTTCATTTAAAAACCAAAATAGCAACACATTTATTTAATATAATAATGATATATTTTAAAATGCTATGCTAGATATACAAAACTCTGTTCTAGAGATAGTAGAGATAAAAATTTTAAAAGTGCATGTCAGGGTAGTCCATAGTGGGAGTGGATACGTGAAGAAAACTAACATGGTGGTCAGATAAGGAGTAAGTGGGAGGTCGATAGGAGGGTGACAGGGAGAAGACTTGTCAAAAGACGGGATTTAAGCTGACTGTAGAGCAATGAGAGGAAACTGAGGAGTCGTGGCAAAGGGCATTTTATTTTAGGAAGACTCTATTTTCTACTCAGAAAAATAGAAGAGTAAATGTGTTGTGTTGGGGTTGCCAATGAAGAGCTGCATCTTGTGGTGTGTGAAGAAGGTTCAGAGAATGTTGGAGGCCAAGGTTCAAAAGAAAGCTGCTTGCGAATTTTGAGGGCTGAATTATGAAATCAGTGGGAATCACTGAGAATTTTCTAGTAGGAGAGTAAAATGATCTTTAAGACATTAACTCTGAGTTTTGTTTAAAACTACCTTAGTGGAAGTTAAGAAATCTTGAAATGTCAAGGTTAAAAAAAATGTATGAGTGAACTACTGCTGTAGAGATGTGAAGCAAATATGTTTTACTTGAAACCTATGGAAGTGAATGTGTACTATGTTAAAGAATAGCTGTATTTAGCATCACAAGGAAAAGCAGAGTCAAAGCTGAGATTCTATCTATGGATGCAAATTTTAGACTCATACTGCAAAAGGAGATCTCTATACTTGAACATGAAGATCCTTACAATCACACAGCCCTCTTTTCAATTTATTTATTTCATAATTATTTCTTTCAGTGCCTTTACTATTGTGATAAAATATATTGAGCTTGCCAAGGTTTTTCTTTCATTATAAATCTCTTTTTCATAATTACTTTTCAATTAATTTGCTAAATTGTTTGGACTTTGTTTTAGGATCATTATTTTATGTTTTAGTTATACTTATGTAATTATGGGCTAGTCTTTTTAGTTGCCTTAAGCAATTTTTGGAAATCATACACATCTAATCTTAGTAACAGTTTTGATGATAGAAGTAGATAATATATCAATCATTGTTAATTAACTATCATGTTTTGAAAATCTGTAGCATATGTATTGTTATACATTACCCTGTTCTGTCTTTGTTTTTCTTCCTCTTATTTTTACTCTTCAGAATAAAAGTAAATTATAATTTAAAAATAAAAAGAGAAAATCATACACATCTATATGCCAGTGAATTATGAGTTCCTTGCTTTTAGTACTGCTGAAATAGACAGACACATACGAATAGCGGCAAATGTTTTTGATTCATTTAGAAAACAATCAAAGAGCATGTGCTGAAGGTGCTAGATGTTCACTATTTGCACACTTGTTTTTTCAGAAGCCCCAAAGTTGACTGTAGTTCAGAGCGAGCTGCTGGTTGCCCTTGGGGACACAACAGTTATGGAATGCAAGGCCACTGGTGTTCCTCCGCCTCAGGTTAAATGGTTCAAAGGTACATTTGTTAAGTATGTTCATGTCTGGCTCAACTTTGTTTTCCTTTTATTTTAATTTTTTTTTGTTGTTAAAAATGTGTTGTGCTATGTGACTTTAGCAGCCCCATAAAATGTGTTTATGATCTCACTGGAGACAATAGTTCAAAATTCTGAACTCTGAATTTCAGGATTTGACATCTGGTATGGATTACAGGACGTGAAAATCAAAGCAGGAAAAGCCAGCCTTTGCTAATCCAGCTGAACATTCTCTTTGTTAGTTTAGGATTGTTTCCTGTAGAAAATTGTCCAAGAATACTCAGTTAATGTTTAAAATAGCTTCACTGACTCTGCTTCACTTTTCTTAGAAATGAAAGTTCCACTTATTAAAGTTTTCTAGATTCTTGAGGGTACCTTCTAGAGAGTGTTCAACTACAGATACATGTTGAAGAGAACATTGAAAAACAGGTGTGTGTCAACCAACTTCACCAGGCACAGTAAATGCTTGCATCAAGTATAGAAATCGTCTGTCTATATTTGTAATGTAAGATTGGACCTCTGTGATAATATTAAAATAACAGTAATTTGCCACTTGGCCTTCGTGAAGAAAGTTGGATCCTGATCTAAGTTCAGATGTTGACAGTAGATATCTGTGCAAAAAATCTCTGCTTCTGCTTCTGTCTCAATTCTTTCAATTTATCATAAAAATCTCCCAAACATCCTAACAAGGATGTTGCTAGGATTATTAAGATGCTGTTTGCAAAATAGTTTTTAATCTTCAGATGCAAAATGCTAAATAGTACAAAGCACTATTGTTATGATTCTGTTTGGTAAATCATAGATGTTCCCATAGCAACAGGTTGATGTCATAATCACAAAATTATGAATTCACCTCGGGTTCAAATCTCGGGGAACATGAGGTGAAAGAAAAAAGTTTTATGTGGAAAACAAGTATTTTTAAATGGTATAAATCAAAAACAGGGAGGGAAACTAAGAAATAGTGACATTTGCTTGATTTTCTATTTTAAATGTTTTTTAGTTTTCATGTTTTCCTTGATAAGAAAGCCCTTCTGGATTTGCTCCTTGATCAGGTTTATTTCAGTGAATATGAGCTACTTTGGCCTATTCAAAATACATCAGTCTTTTAATGACAGAAGAAATACATCCCATTTTCAAATTCACATCATTGTTAAGTAGAGTTAGAAAATATGGAGTATTTTTTAAAATTCATTCATAAGTTTTGTTGAAAATATAAATTCAAAAAAAGCAGTAAAAATATGCTGTTTTCCCTCCCTGTCTATAGTGGAGTTACAGAAAGTCTTTTAGTCTCTCACATTGGAGTTGTCTCTTGAAAAAACCTTCATGCCCTTGGCCCCACAAATAACTTGGAGGCCAAGGGAGCAGATGAGGTCCCGTGCAGCCACCACACAGGAGAACCTTGAGTTTACTGCTATCAGTGTTTTTTCCCAGTGGTAGATTCATAGACTGAAGTTCAGTGGGTCTAGTCAATGACTTAGCATTTGCGTATCTGTGTCATTAACCATTAGGGACTGAATGAGAACTTTAGACACTGACAGACTACTTTGGAAGACCTGGCTCCAGTGTTCATCAATAATAGTCCCAGATGCTCTGAATCCCAAAGTCAGGCCAGTCTGTTCTTCCACTCACAGACAGGCAAAGTGCTCTTTGCAGAAGAGCAGAATCAACACTATTAAGAAAATACCATAGGACAGATTTCTGCATTCAAACTGGATCTAAAAAAGAATGGTCTCAGGGCAGGTAGACCTTTCTTTCCTACCTTACTGGGGAGAAGACATGAGGAGGGCTAAGAAAATCCTACCTTGTGGAGACCACATGGTGAAAAATTTCTGCTTCAGCTTTAAAAATAATCTTTCCTTAAACTTTTCTTCAGATAATTCTTATTGAATAAAGTGGTCAAAAGCAGAATTCTATTCAAAACATTAGCAAAAATACCCCTCTGTAAATACAAATACTCTTTAAAATTTTAAAGAAATTTAAAATTTCTTTCATCTTTAGAAATGAACAAAATAAAGTGGCTTCAGAGAGAAATTGGGGATACTATTGGAAGATAAGGAAAAGGATATTTGTGGTAAAATATTAAAGCACTGAGATTCATTTAGGCTAGTAGTTCTTAAAATATGGTTTGAAATCTCTGGTTTCTTCTCACAATTGTGTCAAGTTCAAAATTGTTTTCAAAATAACATTCAGATGTTGTCATTTCACCCTCATCGCCTCAGCGCAATGAGTCCGCATAGTGTGTGATATCCAACAAAGGGATGCAGAGGCAAACGTGGGCCTCAGCTGTCTTTCATTAAACAAGACATTAAGCATTGTATAAATCTGCAAAAATGTGAACAATGCCATTTTTCCTGGTACATTGCTCTTGTTTGACAAAGTATTATTTTTTCATAAAATATGTTCATTATGTTGAAATATCATTGGTTTATTATAAAATGTACATGTCTTTAAGTTTTTCAGTTTGACTTTTTAAAAATACCAAAAACAAATAAATGCAGTAGACATAGAAGTTTATTGGGGTTCCCAGTGATATGGAAGAGTGTACTCGCTTAAAAAGTCTTATGACTAACATTTTCAATAAACATTTAATTATCATCAGCTATTTGAAAGGCTTTCATGTAATGACTTCCCTGTAAGTCTTTATATCCACAGTGGCCAGGATTGAATTTAAATTAGAAGTGAAACAATTTCCTTAGTGGTCATGAGTGTTAAATCCTATAATAGGTTGCCAGGAAAATTTATATATTTTATTATGTGTTTGGTTTTGTCTTGAAAAAAGGCTCTTAGCAGAAGGTCTTTATGTCATCCTCCAACAATATGTTTTGTCTTCAGAAACGTAAAAGAAAAGTAAATTTGAAAAATCTAAGTGCATTTTAGTCCAAACATTTTGATATTTGAAAAACAAGGTCACATTGCATCCTCCCTCAGTGAGAGGAAAGTTTATGTCAACATCATCTGCTTTTATTTATGAAAATTTCCCAGAGGCACATAGATAAAAAGTTTCAGTTGTTTCTCTGAGTCCCAAGTGGTGTATAGTAGCAAGCTTTTAGAGATGATTGGGAGTTTTACATGTTGAAGTGCTGGAAAATTCTTTGATTTTGGCTCTGATGCTTGCTAATTTAATCTTTTTGTATTTAAGTTTAAATTTAGAGCCACTTTGACCTTTCTTCTTCAGAAAATGATATAAGCAAAAAGAATTATCTGTTGCCCTCAGTTGGTGGTAGAGGCTGCTTACAGTGTTGTAGAGAGTTAGCAGCTCCACCACTCTGTTTTGCCTGTGAGAGGCAAAAAGATTTACTTCTCAAGTTATAAAGCTCAGAGCACCTGGTGTGTGGGACTTTTTGGAGAATACCCTTACGGGCTTGACTCTTGAGATTGCTGTGGAACTCTTAAAGACAACATGCCCTTTAACTTCCTGGTTGTTCTTAGGATTGTCATACATTTTACATCATCCTTTACAAAGCAAACAAAGATATGGATGCTGAACTATCATTAGATATCAGCACTGTGGGCTTTTTTCCATCCTGGTCATCCTGCTTAAATTCTTAGTCTAATTGATCCTCTGCAAGAAACGAACTATGAGGAAAAGTGTAACCTAAGCTACAGTTTATTGAGGTGTTGTCTGCCTTCAAACAGAAGAGGCCCTAGGGAGATTTGAAGTCTATAAGAACACACAGCATGTGCAGGTAACTCACATATGCTCATCTTTCTTGATTCAACTCAGCATGGCATTCTACCTTCCACACCTCATTCCCTGCCTGCATCATCCTGTAATACTCCATATGTTAACTTTAGAAGTTGAATAGTGCAAATTTTAATTCAGTTACACTTGGAGATTTATATAATAAAACCCCTCTGGATTTTGTCAGAAGTTTCTCCTTCGTTCCTTTTCATTTCTCAACTAGCTTTTCCCTTACCTCTCCAGCCATCCATGGTCCTTCCTCCCCAGACAAACCCTGATCATTAGATAAATCATGAAAACCTATAGTTCTGTAAGCATTCCCTGGGTATCCAAAATACATCCTGTTGGGTGGGCCAGATAGCTCAGCAGATTAAAGCACCTGCTTAGCAGATGCAGGGGCTGGGGTTTGATCCCCAGCGTGCAGTGCTGGCCCTGCCCCCAGGGTGTGCTGGGATAGCTACTGAGACTGGGTGTGGTGGTACATGCCTATAATCTCAGCATTTGGGAGGCTCAAAAAAGGAGGATCACTATGAGTCTGATCTGTGTAGTGACACCCTGTAGACCCTGTACTAAATACAAAATAAAATAAAATACATCCTACCACAAACATAGTAGAAATACATTTTCAACCCTCACCTTCTTGTATGCTTCTTTTTGACACAAGTCACCATCTAAGCTGCTAGCCTTTCCTTGTCCTCCAACAGAGCTTCAAAGAGCTCACTCTTATTCAGGTACACATATGGTAAATGGTTTATTATTGGACTGAATTGAAGACTATGGGAAGTGTCTTTGTTGTGGAAGCCACTCATATTTAAAACCTTTCCACTTGACTGGATTCAGAAGTTGGTTTTGAAATCAGACCAGTAGCTGAGCAAACTATGTAAGTAATTTGGTGTGTAACGCTTCCCCTTTGTTCTGACTTAGGGGATCTGGAGTTGAGACCCTCAACATTCCTCATCATTAACCCCCTCTTGGGACTTTTGAAGATTCAAGAAACTCAAGACCTGGATGCCGGTGATTACACGTGTGTAGCTGTCAATGATGCCGGTAGAGCGACTGGCGAGATAACTCTGGATGTGGGCTGTAAGCATCCTGATCTGGTAGACAAGTTTATTTTGTAATTGGTGTGTTGTTTTTCCATGTGTAGTAACTGTGACACAATGAGGTAGACATATTTGTTAGAACAACTAAATTAAATTGAGCATTTCAGATGATCAACACCACAATGGATGATTTCAATGAGCTGTAGCTTCTTATGTGTTATTTTGATGAACCCACAAAACAGCCCTAGGAGGAAGACGCTGTCCCTAGGTGTATTATGTACACAGGGAAGCTGAGGCTCACAAAAGTCAAACAATTTGGTCAGGATTAGAGCTAGGCAGGAGCAGATCCATGATGTTTGAACTCAAGTTGTCTGACTTTAGAGATGTAAACTTCATCATTATATCATCATGAACCATCATTATCCTGGAATCTTCCATTGTGCCACCAAGTTCCTAACTGGTAACATCTGGAGACCAGAAATTAGACTTTAGCCCTAAACCATAAATTAGAGATGCTGATGACAGCAAAGGTAACAGATGGTGATTTTACTTTTTTTTTAATTCACTAGTAATTGCTCTTCAGTATATAAAATAAAGTGCTAACTACAAATAAATGTCAATCACTATGTGAAGACTACAACATGTGCATGACAACTATATTTGGGTTATTCAAGAAGTTTGGTTCTCCTCCTCCTTTGTCTTTCTATTGCATAGCTCTTTAAGAAATGTCTAAACAGTGTGGTAAAACTTGAAATAAAACAGAGCCTGTTTTGTAAGGGAAAGAAACTGACAGCTTCAATTAACAGATAATTAAACGTTTGCCTCTCATAAAGCTTGTAAAATAAGACATTTCACTAAATTGCATTTTAATTTATGTATAATATACATGATGATTTTCCCCCCAAACTGGTTTTTGAGTCAAAAGTTAAGACAATGCATTTAAAAGCATTTTGGTTCTATTACCTTAAGTCTTTAAGTGAAAATTATGTCCCTCTTTGCTACATATATTGTTTTCTGTAAGCTAAGTTTTCCCTCTTAGGATCTCAAAAATCTTCTTGCCCCTAAGCTATCTTTGGTGATTATTCCCTGGAGGTGACAAAGCTGGAGGTGACCATAAAGACCACTATTGAATTTATGTAGAGCACTATAAGTTTTTTTGTTAAATGTGTTTAAGTCAGGGTTTACGGGGTCTGGAGGGTCTCACTACACAGATTGGACTTGCAGTGATTCTCCTGTTTTCAGTCTCCCAAGTGCTGGGATTTCAGGTGTGTGCCACCACACCGTCTCCATTGCTGGCTCAGCGTGCCCCAGGGGTGGGAGCGGGGCAAGCACGGCATGCTGGGGATCAAACCCCAGCCGCTGGGCTCTGCCTAAGCAGGTGCTTTAGTCCACTGAGCTATCTGGCCAGCACTTAAAAGATATGTTTTAGCTTTAATTAAACTCTGTGGTTTTTATGAAAAAATACTTTATAAATAAGATTGGAATATCTGTGTGGACACTACCACTGAGTTTACTAGCATTGGGTAGAATCCATTAACAATATTAAAGAAGTAAGGCCCAAATATAGAGGATTGGTAAGTAAAGAATTCTAGTTTTCAAGAAACATAGTGATCATACTATTTTGATTCTCAGCATTTTCTGTTTTGTTTCTTCCTCTTTTCTGTATAGAAAGATCATATTTATTTAATATTCTTTTAGTGTCTTTTAGCTCTAGAAGAACAGCTTCAGTAATTATTCCCAGTAAAAAGACAATGATACCTTTGCTTCCCTCAAAGTGTATACAACAAAGTCCAAGTTTGCAGGAGGTACAATATATTGATGGGTGCTGACTCTTTTTTAAGAGAATAAAAAATATAGTAAAGAAAACATTGGAAACAATACAGAATTTCACTAAACAAAATAATAGGAATTCAGCAATGGTTGTTATGTTGCAGAATGTTGCCTTCAAATTAGTTGTTTAGATTACCAGATATAAGCATTCAAAATTGGTTTAAAAAGTTATAAGAAATTAAAACAAAGAAAAATATTTATTCACTACTCCTTTCAGTAGACCAGCAGAAATAAGAAGTACAGTTATCCAAGACATCCTGTATACAGACATAAAAATATTTTTGCCTTCTTTCTTTTTTCCTTTTCCTCATCCCAGTTATTCCTTCCCTTTGAACAGATTTTTTTCCTTTTCACAATATCTACTTGTATCTTTCAGATTTTATTTATTCTTTCAGGTTCTCACACTAGGGAGACAATACAATGCTTGCACATGTGGGTCTGATTTATGTCACTTATGAGATTGGTCGCTAGTTGCATACATTTATTTGTAATAGCTTCAAATTTATCTTTTTTATAACTGAACAATATTCCATTGTATAAATATTTCTCAGTTGATGGGTATTTGGGTTTTCAAGATTTAGCTATGACAAATTGTGCTGCCCTAAACATGAGTGTACATAAATTGCTATGGTATGATGTTTTCAGTTTTTCTGGAAAAGTGCCCAGGATGGGACTAGCTGGATTGAATGAGTCACCAATCCTGTCTTTCTGAGGAAACTCCACACAGATTTCCCTAGTGGTTATACCAGACTGCATCTCCACCAATAGTGGAGAGGGTTTCTTTTTCCACACAGTCCCTCCAACATTTGTTATTGGTTAACTTCTCCATGATAGCCATTTTTTTCTGGGGTAAGATGGAATCTCAGTATTATTTTAATTTGCATTTATCAAATGACCAATGATGTTGAAACTTTTTTTTTGTATATTTATTTGCCTTTTGATGATTATTCTAGCTGCTGGACTCTCCAGGTTCTCTCTGTCGTAGAGTAGTATATCACGTAAGGGATAAAGCTTATTGTTCTGGAGTGCCTTACATTGGAAATTGAATATAAATTCAATTATTTGCTTACTCTAACCTTAACTATTGTGAATATTTGGAAAATAGCTTAGTATTAAAGTCCACATCATTCAGGTTTCTGTTATATCTTAACAATGTCATTGTTCACTTGTTCACTGTTAGATTCTTCTTAGTGTAGTTTACAAGGGATGATTAGACTCAGTGTGACATAAAGCTATTTTCATGTTTTGTTTTGTTTTGTTTTGTTTTGTTTTGTTTTGTTTTTACTGTGTTGTAACAAGGTCTTTCTCTATAGTCCAGGTTGACCTTAAGCTCACTATGTAGTCTAGGCTGGCCTTGAACTCATAACAATCCTCCTGCCTCACCATACTGAGTGCTGGGATTACAGGCATGCACCATCATGCCCAGCTATTGTTTCATATTCTAGCAGGGTATATATGCTAAGAACCATGTAAATCACAGTTGTAGTGCTGTTGTGGTTTTTGCTATTTTGTTTAATGGTAAACACACTATGAATCAAAACTTTGTGGAAGGACAGGGAAAGAAAATGGGTTGTCTGTCTGACTTTCCTTATCCAAAAGATAAGGTTATAATTATTTCTACCTCAAAGATGGGTTATACAAATGAAATGAGGTATGATCAGTAGTGTATATTCAGACTATGCACTGTTGCCAGTTAAACCTCTTAATGCAATGTATATCAAATGGATGAATGTTAACTGTACAAATAAAGTGGTTATTTTCATTCTATGAGTCTTAAAAAATAATATAAATGCCGACAGTGGTGTAGTATTTAAGATGAAGTGTTTGACTTTTAATATGAAAGTCAAGCTAACTTCCTTTTAGAAAAGCTGGAGACACATTAAGTACTAAACTTAGTCTTACATGCAGCCATTTATTTGAGTTCCAGAACTACTGCACATAAAGTTAAGTAGCTCATGACTTAAGAAGAAAAATATACTTTTATCTATATCATGTAGTTATTTGGGCTTTCACATTAAAAATACATGATAAAAAATAAGGAGGGGGTTATTTAATATTATTCTTGAGTTTTAGCTCCTTGTCACGAGTGTCCTTTTGCTTATTTCTCATGATCATAGCTTTACATTGTGGACATTTCAGGTCAAGAAGGAAAGTTACCAATTCCTTTATCCTTTTTAGGAAGGGGTAGTGAATTGTGAAGTCATTTGGAAGCAAAGGCGGTTGGCTACATCAAACAAAAAATTGGCCTGGGAGCAATTTTATTTCTAGAATTCCACACCACACAGGGTTAGAGTCTCAAGCTGTGGTTTCATTAATTGTGGTTTGCTAGAACCAAAATAATGTGTCTAATTATTTTAGGGGAAAAAAAGATCTCTGGTTGACATAATTCAAGAGGTGCTGCACAGAGAATATATTTTTAATTATCTCTTAAGGAACTAGAATAAGTTTTAAGAAATAGTTTCTAGAGCAAAGTAGACAAGCTGTTTTATATTCTCAAAATGATGTATGCATACAGCCATATCTACCATTAAGCAACACAAACTGAACCGTGGTGTTAAACTTGTGTGGGACTCAAATTCCCAGTATACAAATGTTGAGAGGATCAAAGCTCATTCTAAAAGCCCACCTGAAAATGCAAAAGTTAAAATGAACTGTACATATATTAAGCTCCAGAAGTAAAATTTAATAAATTAATTCTATAATAATTATTCTAATGGTAGTACTTGGATGATTCTTTTGTACTAAATGCTTAATGAAGGTTATAGCTTTTAACAACATAAAATGGAAAATTTTCTTCCTGTTTGCTCATGGGGAAATTTAAACAGGAGAATGTAAACTAATTTTCCCAAGATTATAGTCTAAGAAGTAGTGGAGCCACCGTTTGAAACCACTTAACGGGCTCTTAACCTCTCTAAACACTACAGCCTCCTCAGAGCAAGTACCATGTACTTTACGGCACCGCTCTCCTAGTTGCTTTAATCTGTTTGCCATTCGCCTAGCATAACTTGGTTGGAGGCTGTGTTGACCACACTCAGGGATAGGAAGTATTTAAGAGCTTTCTTGGCTGATGTGGGAGTTGCTTCAGTTCTGAAGTTTGCTTGTCATTTCTGCTGTCTTTGGCTGCTTACATAACGTCTGGTATTCTCATCTGTCTTGTTTTCCAATTTGAGTGCATGCATCCCTTGACTGAGTCTACCTTCCATTGGATGGCCTCTCCATCCTGATTGAGTTTCTTGGATACAGCATGAGCTGTGCTTATCCCTTTTTATTCCAGATTTTTAAAAATTTCTGATCATTCTAGCTCATCTCTGTTTTCACTGATGCCCATGTTTTAGCGTGTCAGTAAATTGGTCTTTCCCCTAAGTATTTGGTTAAGTTCAAGCTTCTTCATATCTTTTCTGCCATTTTAGAATTTGTTTTTTGCCTATCACTGCATTACCTGCTCAAATTCCAAGTTTAACACATTTTGAGACTGTAAAGTTAATGTCCGTTTTTCAGCAAAGTTATCTTCTTGGGGATAAGTGAGAGAGGAGAATCAAGCAATGTGCTGCCTTGTGAATACTGTACTTTAACAATTGTTTTGCAGAATTAGGGATGCACTAGACAAGCAATGGATCTCTGAGCTGTATCTTCAGCCCTTACTTTCTTTCATGGCGAGGCATGCTCTTAATAGAATGGCCTGGGTTATCTTTGAATTTTCAATTCTCCTGTCTCTGCTTCCTGAGGAGGTAGAATTATAGGCATGAGCCTCTGCGTTTGAATTTATCTATCATTTTTATAAGTCAAATTAATATGTATATGTATTAAGAAAAATCTGAACACAAACATATCACTTCCTTTGTAAAACATTTTGTTGGATTATGATAATTTATTTCTGTTTAAGTTCAGTCAAATAACTAGGCTTCTGAAATTGCCATGTTTCTTTCAGAAGTAAAAGTTCAAAGGTATTAGGCTTAAGATTATCATCATCTTAACACATGAGGACACAAAAACACATGCACACTGGATTATTATCAGTAGTTTTTCACACTGATTCAGTAATTCATTCATAGATATGAATTTACAGTGGCCACATATAATGCTCAATAATATGTTAGTTTCTATTAAAGTTAAAATACAGCTGCAATGTAAACTCTCTAGGAAAAATAAAATGAGACACCTAGTCTAATATGAGGCTGAACTGGCAGCTGCTGTGCGTCCACTAGAGAGTGAGTTGTCTGAAACTTAAGAAAGGGAAGGAATCAGGTCTGCCACAGATGATGGGCTGGCATCGCAGACAAGGTCCCGTGGAGCTGTACTGAAGAGGTGTCAGTATGTCAACAGTGGACAGCCACCGTACACTTTGCCTCTGCAAGGGATGATAAGAAGACAGGTACTGACATGAGGAAAGTCAGTCCTTCTGGGGAAGAGCAAGGAATGCTAGTTATTCAGACATAGGAAGACACCAGACATGAAGCCACAGAGTTAGCGATTCTTCAGCCTAGACTCCAAGACCACTACGTGCTTAGGAGACACTGGTGCATCTGAGCTGTAGAAGTCCTGTCGGAAGGAAAGAAATAATCTCTGATCTCTGCAGGCTAAAATGTGGGGATATGAGCAATTATTAGATCCCAGGGAGAAGGGGAAGATGATAAAATGAAAAGGATTGTGCTTCTGTACTGGAAACTATTTTTAAATTCTATTTCAATTATTTAATGTTATGTGATACTGAGCAGACTAGCTATATTAAGTCTTTCATAGCTAAAACCAGATTTAAAATACTACTTATTCCACTGGGATATTTTGAAGATTAAATTAAATAAGTAATAGAAAGCTATGAACAGAATGCCTGTCTCTGAAAGTGATAATTATTGTATTTCCAACCAGAATTTAGCCTTAATTTTACCAGCAACCCATTGCTTGTGTACCAACTCTTAGAATCTTATCTAAACAAGTTTCTTCCATTGCTGCCAATAGTACATTACATGGTTCTTCTTGCCTTACGTGGTGAACATCACCACTCACACATGTCTGGGACATACTGGGAGCTCAACTTCTTCATACCTGCTTACAGCATCTTGTGTTTTTCAAGGTGTTCCTCGAATCTATTTGTATCTCTTCCTCTCAGATTCTGTAGTTAACTGGATTGTGCAGGTATCTGAGGACTTCTTGTCTGTAATTTTATAAGTTCTGAATTCTAATTTCTACCAATGATATTGTGTTTACTGTATTCCTTTTTATTGGTACCAGGGATTGAACTCAGGACCTTGTGCTCATGAGGAAAGCACTTATTCCACTGAGCTGTCTCCCCAGCCCTACTGTATTCCTTTTTATCAGATACTATGTTCCATTAATTTGTACTGTTGATTCTCACATTTCTCTAACTCAAAAGTTTTAAGTTATAAAGAGCAAGAATATAATATTGAACCAGGTTGCAATTTAGGAATAAATACCATTGGCTTATCAGATAATGCTTATTAAGAAAAACTCTTGTGTAAATTAAATCTAGAGTTAATATAAAAATTCAGCCACAGGGAGACATTTTGGGAAGTATTTAAAAAGGTACATTATATTTCCAACTTATTTATATGACAGTCTTAAGCTTTGAGCAGCATAACATGAACTATAATTAAAAACAAATTCCTAAAATTAGAGATTCTTTTATTAAGGATGACCTTAGTTTAAATTTCCACTCTTCACATCATTTATTATTTTAAGGAAACTATTCAGTTGTTTTATTGTCTTTATTCATTTAAAAAGCAAAACAAGACACACCTGCTGTTCCACATCTGTCAGGAATGACTACAGGGTAGCTTTGCAATATTTTATGAGCTATTATTTGATTCCAGTTCATCCTGTTCATAATTTAGTAACCTATTGATTTTTAACGTGCCTGTATTCTATACTAATGCCTTTTAATTTTTAATATCTTACAGCTCCTCCAGTTTTCATACAAGAACCTGTTGATATTTCTGCTGAAATTGGCTCCAACGTGACATTACCTTGTTACATTCAGGGTTACCCAGAACCAAAGATCAAGTGGCGAAGATCCGACAACATGCCGATTTTTTCAAGACCTTTTTCAGTTAGTTCCATCAGCCAATTAAGAACAGGAGCTCTCTTTATTTTAAGTAGGTCAAAGAAAATATATTTTATACAAATATATCTATATATCTTAATAGATTTAAGCTCAACTGTTTTGTTATGGTATTTACAAGATTATAATCGTTTAAAATCTGGTCTTGGCTTCAGTTGATCAACACTAAACCCCACTCTTCATAAAGATTAAGTTTCACTTCAGCTTCCTGACTAAACCTACACAACCTGTAACTAAGTAGCCTGCACCATGATTAACTTTAATATTATCTTTAATTATAAGTGTTTTATAATAATATCATTAAGCTGAAAAAATTCTATATGTTCATCCTACCTACATTAAAAACATTTTATTATCCAGCATGCAGTGAACAGAAAAAATTAAGTGAAAGCAATTTATATTAAAGTATTATGCATTTCTAGATATAAAGGTTCATGAATATTTATTTAAAAACTTAAGTGAAAGTAATTTATATTAAAACAGTATGCATTTGTAGATATAAAATCTCATGCATATTTATTTTTTATTTATCATTGCCATGCATTTCATAGCTCAAGTGCAGGTTAGACTATGATATTGATACTCTCAAACTCCAAGCTAACAAAGTGTGACTATAAGTAGAGGCCAAATTCATATATTTCTAGTGTGACTTTCAAAATTCACGCTGGACTAGTGATACTTGTTCTTTCTATGACTCTACCTCATGTTTTGCCTAAATTCTATCCAATACATGCAAATAGACTCTGCCAGCTACTGGACCAACTAAAACTCTGCTCCAGAGACTTGCAGGCTGCCTCAGGGTAGTGCACCTTTATATTCTTGAAGGTCTGTTCATTGATGTTTTTTCAAGCCATGCTTTTGCCCTTGTAGCCCATTAGATTTGGGCAACCCTTCCTCCATTCTGCCCACTTTTCAAGTGCAGCTCCATTGCTGCCTTTGCTGTGAATCTTTCTGTACCTCCTTCACATACAGTCGGTTATTCTAGACTCTGCCATCACCCGCAGTCTGATACTCATACAGTCTTTGCCTCACTACAGAGTGATTGCTGATTTCTCTACGTCCTCTCCGGTAGAAGTGGCACTACCTGAAGGCAGGGCCATAATCTCCACCTGCTGATCTCATAGTTAAGACTTCAAATGGTACTGAATGAATAAATGAGTTCTTCTCTTTAGACTTGTGGGCCAGTGATAAAGGAACCTATATTTGTGAAGCTGAAAACCAGTTTGGGAAGATCCAGTCACAGGCAACGATAACAGTGACAGGACTTGGTAAGATCAATGAAATGTCTAGATACCTCCTTCTCCAAAATCCTTGTTCTACTTTTGCTACATCTTTTTTCTGTGTCACTTAGAAAATAAAAAAGATGAACACCTAATTATTAGACTAGATTTTTCTCTTCTATCCCATTTCATGTTTCATTGAATGTTAGAACTGCAAATAACCATAAAGATTATTTACTTCAAGCTTATCTTCAATTTGAAAAAAATAAAGGATAATTTAAGTAAATTAAGCTTCAGTATAAACACACATAGAGTAGAGATATTTTCTGGTTACCTGTTTTGTATTTATCATGTTTTCCATGTAGACTTATTTTTTGCATGCTGTGAAGTAAGAGTAAAACATAGTTTATTTCTAAGTGAAAATATATGTGATTCAGTATCTTTTACTGAGTAATATCTTTTCACTGTCTAAAATACATTTGCACTGAGTATATATCACTATATTTATTCCTTATAATTGTTTTTGCTGCAGCAGTACATTTTATATTATTATGGTATCTGATATGATTTTGAAATATGTCAGTGTACATTTCTCAGTAATACTGTTTATGAAATTTTTTATGTGTCTTCCTTCATATATATATATATATAT